GCTTCAACAGTGACTGGGACTTATGACCCAGGTGTAGGTTTAAGGGACCCTATCTAAAAAAGTGATTTCTTTATATAAATGAAAATAATAATGTGAATTTCTTAATAAAACTGTTTTATTATATTGAGTATGTTCCATATAGAAATAACTATTTATATTCCCAAAGATTGTTGATGTCAGGCAGGCGGCCGGTCGTAAAAAAAACAAAGCCAAAACTATACATAACATGTAAGGCAGACCCTGGCTAATTCTGGTAAATTGCCAGGTAGGAGAAGAAGAGAAAGAACTATTTATAATTATTTCTTTTCATATATTAGTTTTATCCATATTTTAATAAATCCGATATATTCCTGACTACATCCTGCATAATATTGTTCAGTGCTACATCGGCCCTTCGCAATTAGACCGTGACAGCTCAAGGGACTAGATACATATAGCTTTAAAATTGTTTTGTCATTGCAATTGTGCAGCAACATAAGTGATTTGGTGATTTCAAATATTTTACTTACACCTGGAATAGTAAGAATGAATTACAAGATATGTATTATCCCTACTAATATTATAAATGCGATAGTAACTCTGTCTGTCTGTCTGTTATGCTTTCACGCCTAAACCACTGAACTGATTTTAAAGAAATTTGGTACAGACATAGAGTCGACTTTGTGAAAGAACATAGGATAGTTTTTATCCCAGACTTTTGAAAGGTTCTCTTCGAAACGCGATATAACCGAACTCCATGCGGGCGAAGCTGCGGGCGGAAAGCTATACATATTTTTTGTACTAGTAATAGTTTACTTATAGTGTGATTATTTTAATTATCAGCCACATTGATCCTTTGCTATTTTTACAGTCCACGATATTAAATAAAAACATATTTTTCCAGCACATCTGTTATTTTTTTTTTATTCTTGATATATTTATTTATTTAGCTTTTTCAATAGTATGGTATGATGTTTGTCATTTCAATTCACAACAAAATTATACTTTACTATACATAATTATGAAAAATTTAGAATTAGGGATATTTTTATAATAAAAAGGGAGGTTGATAAGAAAATTTATTGCTATAGCCTGAGTTAAATATGAAAAATACATATTACAGAGACAGATTTATAAATCTATATATATAAAAGAAAGTCGTGTTAGTTACATTATATATAAAACAAGAACGGCTGTAGAGATTTGGCTGGAAATTGGTTTAGAGATAGATTAGAACACAGAAAGCACATAAGATACTTTTCATCCAGTTGAAAAAGAAAATAATTAGTTTAGTAAATCCAAAATCTTCTTATATACTGTCTTTAAGGAGAAATACAATTCGCACGGTCAGTTATGTATACATTCTGAAACTAACGCAGAAGAAGTCGCGGGCAAAAACTAGTATATATACATAAATTTTAGTTAACTTCAATCTTACTTACTCAAATACATAGTCTTCTCAACATTTTAATGAAGAACAGACATGAATTATTAAGAATAAATAATATGTCTGTTAATCTTATTAATACTTAAATTTCTTTATAATTCATCCAGCAGTCATTTTGTAATTTTGACATTTTATTCCTCATTGTGTTATACTATGATACTTGTATGTAAATTTAGTAATCATACTATCAATTCTTGTAAACGACTTCCTTGAAATTGAAACAGATGTTATTGAAATCACTTTATAATTATTAGTTTTGTATAAATTTTGACTAGGACAGACTTAGGTTGTATTTAGTGTTTTAATAGTTGAATATTAAATATATATATTCTTGATATGTCATATCAATAAAAACGCATAATTTTCATCAACCAAATTATAATTTGTCAAAATAATACTAAATTCTATACGATTTGATTATTTAAAATAAATGTAATAGTTACATTTGAGTGCTAAGTTTCATTTGTAATGAGTTAAATGTTTTGTAAACAAACGGATCTATGAATAAAATTTTAACAAAACAAAGACGTTTTAATCTGAACATAAATATAAGACAGAATAATATTATAATCCGATCCGGAACAGATGTTTGTGTCTCGTGATTTTAGGGTAAATGTGACTATAGATGACTCACAGTTATTATATTTTAATTTACTTTTAATTTTTCATATATATTTTCTTATAATTTCGTGAAAATTATTATAGTATAATATAATATCTTTAGTATAAATATTAAAAAAGATAGTTTTATTTATTTTTTAAAATATATGCAAGGTAATTTTGGTGAACCTATAAGTAGTATCTAAATGAAACTAATATTTTTACAAAAATAAAGTCGCGTAGTATATATGAAAAATATTAGTTTAATTTAAATGAATAAAACTCGCTAAAATCTTAGATCTCAGTTTATCATCTTTTCTCATATATTTTTTTAATTTAATATATTTTGAATGTTTCCATAACAGCCGCATTTACCTTAATTTTAAACAGAAGAATTCACAATGTACATCAGTTAAGACGAAGGGACTGGATTATACAGCGTCTTAGACATTAGCATAAAAATGTTTATTAAATAATAATAAAATTAATTCCTAACACAAATACATCTTTCGTTATGGCAACAAATATAAACCTTTTGTAACTTTTTACATAAAATATTGAATAAAAAAGATTGAGATTTTTAATTAATCTTACAATGATAATAATGTATAATAAAAAAGTTTTTTTGGGAAGAAGTTAATAATGAAATGAAAAAATATATATATTTTTGTTTCATTTATAATAATGAGTCTGAGACCTTTTACCGCCATCTAGTGAGGAGTAGATTAAAACTATACACAACAATTGAATCCACTTTTTTCGGTCTTAATAAACAAAAATGATATGTATCTTAACAACACTATTAAGATAGATGGCACATGTTTTTATTATTTCCATCATTTTCATATTCTTTCATATTTCTATGTAATATTTTAATAAAATTTAAATTAATATTATTTCTGACAGTTAAAAGAATAAGTTATTTTTGCTGAGCGAAGTTTGAGTAATATTTCTAATATCTATTTAGCAATTCATATATTTTACTTAAAATGATTTAAAGTAACAGATATTAATTTCTTTTAACTTATAAATAATTGCTATCACTATACAATTTAAAACTGAATAGATCGTGTTTTTAATAAATCACTTTCTCATTTACTATACAATCATGAGGAAAAATCATAAGTTGAGCTAGTCACTTATCGAATTTAGGTTCAAATGCATGAAAATATTTTTTTTCTGAGAACTTACTAAAATATATATCCAGTTAGTAATTAATTAAATTCAAAAAATAAATTCCAACAATTTAAACAATTTTGACTTATTAAGTATATGTTTAAACTAACTTGCTACTATAAAACAAAAACATGAGAAAAACTTGGTAATTCAGACTTTTCAGCGACATGTACTGCCATCTGTTATTGATTATATTAAACTTTATATATTTTTAAATTTCTACTTTGACTAATTTTGTGAAATATCACTAGTTTCCTCAACAATTCCTCTATTATTATAAAGATGACGCTGTTACATCTCTCCTTGTAGAGTAATAATTAGACATCAACCAAAAGATGGCGTTTTGAGAGAATGATGGCGAATTGAGAGTTTTTATTCATTTTTATTAATTTTATTTGTTATAAGGCTTGAATAAGATACACTTTATTACAAGATTTTAAAAATAATGGTCATACAGCTTACAACTTTTTAAAGTGACGAAACCTCTCATCATTCCACGTATTCACGGTGCGTGTGCCGGGTCCATTGTTGCAGGAAGAGGAGCTTCTACAGTGTTTGGGACTTGCGACCCAGGTGTAGGTTTAAAGGACCCTATCTAACGCGCGTTAAACGCCCACCATCACTGTCCAAGCTCGTCTCTCTACCTAATTAATAAGGAACCTACTAGGCCTAAGGAACCTACTCGCTCCCACTTCTGCAGCGTACAAATTAACGACGATCCTATTCTTAGTGAGTTCGTCAGTGAGCTCGCAATACTTATATTATTTTTATTATTACCAATCAATATAAGAAATATTCTACACTTAAACAAATATATTTTTGATATCCAACCTTTCATATGATTCGCTTTAAGCAGAATAGATACAAAACCAACAATAATCACCAGTAAAGAGTTTTTAAGTAAATAGAAGATTTAAAACTGTCAAAATTGTCAACATATCTGTTTATAACGACTATGAGTAATAATTAAAAATTATTGTATGATCAAATTTATGTTTTGTTATCATTATTATTAGTGCATCGTTTAAATTATGTGAGTGCTGTGTTTGAATTTTAAGTTCATTTATAAAATAATAAGTTATATCTTAATTTCCAGGCTAAAATCATTTCTCGAGGACTGGAGGGTTTGTTTCAGACCTGATATATTTCGTTTTTTTCTTCGTTTACTCAGAATGAATGTAAGTATGAACAAATTTTATTATATAGAAACATTCTTGAATGTTTGTCGTTTGAAAATGTCCTTAGATTTAGCAGAGAAGAATCTTCCAGGTTTCTTGTAGACTAGAGCAAAAATACTCTGAAGAAGTCTATTATATAAGATAGTTTGACTTCAGTTCTGAAGACTCAATATAATTTTTTGAAGTATTGTTTATTCTGAGTTATTGGTCGTGTTCTAAACCCAGGACTAATTGATTTCACTTTTCATTTATTGATTATCATGTTGAACCTAAAATTATATATTAAAAGTTATTAAATAATATAGATATAGAAATAATTTAACTATAAAATTAATGGTCAGTTGTAAATGTAAACATATTATTATTTTATCGATACATTATTGATAACACACTTATTTCAATGAAAACAGAACATTCAGAAGGATAAGATCTTTGAAGTTATCAAAGTGGTATTAAATTCTAACTATCGATATGCATATTAATTTGAAATCACCAACCCGTCTTGAGCGAGCGTGGTGATTAATGCTCTAACCTTCTCCATGTGAGAAGAGACAGCTCAGCAGTGGGCTCTGATAGGCTGATGATGATATGAATTTCAGTATGTCAGGTAAGAGTTGACAATGGAAGGTGCTGGCGAAGGTATGGTGGCGGTCTTGGAAGGAACCAAAAATGCAGGCCTTAAGGTCACAATGCTTCCTAATCGACTTCTTCGAAGAAAATGTGTTCTTTTGGATTTAGGTATATATTATACATATAACTTTATAATAGAAAGTAAAGGTAAAACACTATGTGGTTGAAAGAACATTTGCTGTAGCCTTGATGACCTCCAAATTACAAGGGAGAGATAAAAAACTCAAGGAGAGAGTTCTTTATAGCATAACTATTGTCAAACGAGCATTTAATATAGCTCATATTGATTTGAATATATCCGTTTAGTTAATTTTACGAAATTGTAACATTTTATTTTACTCACATTATAAAAGTATTTTTCATATAATTTGTAATCATTAGTCTAGATTTGTAAGTTTTCTATCTCTAAAATTCCTCTCAATAGTAGGTACAAATGGCATTTTTAAATGAATTGAGTAAAATAATATTTCCAGGCATCAATCCAACAACAAGACTGACACAATCAAGTGTTGATACTGGAACAGAAAATGTATTGAAGAACGCCAGCTCTCCTTTATGCGATGTCAAATATTCTTCCAGTTACCAAGTAAAAATATCATAATTTAAAATTAAAATGATATCTAAGATTTTTGCGAATCATTGAAATGAGACTAATATGTTTCGTATACTACGCGTATTTTATTATTTTTGACTACATACTCCCGACGTTTGAAAATTAAAACTAAGGATTAATTTAAGATAAATATATATTTCTTATCTTGACTACAGATCGATATTAATTAAAACTATGAATTATATATTAAAATATTTCTTTGTTTGTATCCAACTCGGCAAAATATTTGAAATTATTGATTTTTTTGTTATTTTATATATATAATAAATGTAATTATTCACATCCACGTCTCGTATGTCCGTGATCCCTGTTGCTGAAAAATAACTGAAACGCCCGGAGTATGTAGTTTTTACAATAATAAAATACGCGTAATAATGCGAATAATATTAGTTTCATTTAAAAGAATGTAATTTGTTCTATTATATGTAATATTTTTATTTCAGTTTTCAAATTGTATTCGTAACTCTCATCAGTCTTCATTCGGTTCTAAATATCATCGGCATGGTTAGTTCATCATTATTAAATCTTTGAATATGACTTTAATTATGACTATTATTCTTTATTGTTCAGAAATAATTAATATTATTTATAAAATGTAATATATCGGAAAATATTATATATTATTACAGCAACTGTAATGTTACAAAAGCAGTACATTTTTATCTCTGAATAGGCTATAGTGTTTAAAATTACTTATGAATGCAGAAGGTTGTAATTTGGGTAAAGTAAAACTTAAAAGACTATATTCAATTAGGAAGTACGCAAAATTTCATACATGTGCGTGTTTTTATATATCACACAAACTAATGGATCAATTAGAAAATTATGTAAAATTTTCTTATACTATAGTATAATTTTGTCATAATCAGTTTTTTGGTATATACTTGACATTTGTCCAAAGAATTTGTAAATTTGGTAAAGTACTTAGTCATAATGTACAAATTAATGTCTTTTTATTCAGGAGGCTTTACAAGACACTCAAGTCTTTTTGAAGACTCTCTGAGAAAATATCCCGATGGAACTGCGTCATCTGAGATTTTACAAAGAATAATTAATTATACTAACACAGAGCAAAGTGAGTATTATATTAAAAACACTAGTTTTGTTACTGTTCCTAAGAATAGATTTGAAGGAAGATAAAAAAGACAATTTAATGAATGTTGAGCACTAGAGTCTATGTTTTTAGGGTCAAAGAACAATGTAAGATTTGAAGCACTATACCGCGAAAAAACATGTTTTTAAGTTAAGGAAAGTTGTGGCTCCAAATCAAACTAGTGGATAGTAGTAAAAATATAAATATTACGTGCATTAAAATGTCAAAAATCATCTCAATCGTCAATCTGGAAGTTGGGAATATAAAAAAAAGACGATTAATAATCTTTATTGATTAATGTATTACAAGAAAGTTTTGGATTAGCAAAATAATTCGAAATCGTTATGAGCACTAAAAATGTACTTAACTACTATGTATAATTTTAATTATATTTATATTATTACGGATGGGTCAATGATTGATAAGATTAGGTATTATCAATTAAAATTATATTTTTTAAATGTTTATTCATAGAGTATTCAATCAACTGACTTATGTTAATACTGAAATTGAGCAACTTTAACAAAACTAAATTGAATGGTTTCAGTTTTCAAAATATTTTAATACAACTATTTCCTAATAATGATTGACCTATAATGAGATCTAAGACTTTCGCGAGTATACATTTAAATGAAACTAATATTTTTCGGGTGATACTACGCGTATGTTATTATAACAAAAAGTAACCGAAACGTCAGGAGTACATAGTTAGAAACTATTAGTTTCATTTAAATGTATATCGTGGTAGCGAAGCAATTGACGAGGCATAATAAAGATAATGTTATATTTACATACAAATAACTAAGAAAAGTCATTGGTATTCCTGTTAGAAAATATATATATGAACCCAAGAACTGGTTCTTTACAGTCTGTAAGCGTGTACCTAGTATATAATAAATATACATTTAAAAGAATTATACTAGATACAATCAAAACAATATTTCTTAAGGGAACAATCAGATATTTTATTTAGTTTAACTTCATCTTTTATTATCAAAACTTACAGATTTTTGAAAGCGAATAACTAATTTGATTCCATCAATACATATCGTTTTAATTTCTTCATATTCAGACCCAAGAATATATTATATAGGAATAGTTTCTTCTCTCAATTTTTCTACCAAATTATTTTAAGTCTTTTTAATCATGAAATGTTTCAAGTTTAATATAAAACAGGTAACAGGAGATCAAATTTAAGAAGCATAAGATCAATATTACGAAAATCGACGAGCTATAACAATCACGTGAAGTGTGATACGGGTGTCAACACAAGTTTGTACATCAAGAAACCTCTCAGACCATCCATATCAACTATAGGCAGTAAATATTCAAGGTTCGATGTTTTTCATTAAATAGAAAAGACAAAAATAATCATTATTTTAAATTCAATACAAAGCGAAATGATTACCAATGTGATTTTACTTGGCAAGTACCAATGTGATTTTTCCGAACAATGTGTAGTTTCTTAGAGTATTTAGACATCATTGATTAATGCATTCCCAAAGAGGGTTGATGTCAGGCAGGCAGCCGGTCGTAAAAACAATTAGCCAAAACTATTCACAACATGTAAGGCAGACCCTGGCTAATACTGGGAAATTGCCAGGTAGAAGAAGACAAAGCGAAATGATTGTGGATAGTCATATTTTTATTTTATTGTATATAAATTCTATAGTTTTCCTTATTCTAATCTTTTTGTATTTTAATTATTATTGATGAATATTTTTTATATTTCTTTAGAATACTTGTATTATTGTTACAAAAAAAACAGGTTTTTTTTTTAGATTATTATAAAGATATCATAAATAGTTAGTATTGAATATAATTGTATTATTTCAGCCAGAAGGAGCTATATAATTATACTTATGATTATTTGAAGAGTTCACCTCATTTACCAAGATGCTCTGACGTCAGATATCTAACAGAAATCAAAAAATGTATAAGAGACAGATTGCTTGAGCTAATAGATAATAAGCCTGTGGTATGTTTAAAAACTAATGTAATTAAAATCTTTTTCAGTATTATTAATTTTCCCTTAATGTCATGTTTATTTTAATTAATTTATACCTAATGTTCTCTAGAAAAAAATTATAAAGTGTGATATTTAATTTCTTGTATTATTTTGTAATAACGTCTGCGTTTCAGTTGTGCCCAAAAATTCGTAGTAGATACAGTCATCATAGAAGAAAATATCACAAAAATACTTCAAAACAGGTAAATCACATTATTACATACTTCGATATTAGTTTAATATGTTTTAGCATATTTTTCATTCTGTCAAAGTTTATTATTGATAGTCGAATTGATTTAAATAGTAGTATGTACAGAAAAAATCACCTATTTGATGCCTTAGACGTAATTATGTTGAAGAATATACAAAAGTTTAAACTAAAACTGCTTTAATCTTATTTTTACAAATTTAATAATATGATTTCATAATACATTATAAGTCTTTTTAAATTCTTCTTTGTTTTAGAATTTGCCTGTCAAGGGTAATGAGGCCATTGGTACGTAAAACTTAGTTATTTTTTTAATATATTTCTTCTACTAATACTATTTATTTTTCTGTCCAGATTCTAGAGGAAACGATGATAATAATGGCAATTCCTGTCAGGTATGGTTTTGTGAAAACAAAATTTCTTTGTGTATATATAATAATGCGTATAAAATAAAAGTATGTCTTTTTAATAGTTTACTTTAAAAATTTCGTTCATATTTTTTATTTGGTAGTAGGTAAACAAATTGTAAGACAATTTTTACTAAAATTTCAATAGGTTTGATACTCAAAAATTTTATTATAGGTTCAAACAATAATATACATTGAAAAGAAATTCATACATGTAGATTAAAATTGATTAATTAATCTTTTAGATGGAATCATCGTTTTCAAAACATAAGCCATGTTTCTTCCACCAACCAAGAAAATGTGTTTGTAAAACGAAATCGAATAATTTGAAACCGTTACAAAGTCTTATGACTAAACTTTATCCTGATTTAATTGTTAACAAAGAAGATAAAATACCAGTCAATGGAGAAACTTTGAAAAATCAAGATGAAGATAATATTATGTCTGTAGTATCGGAATGGTCAGAAAAAATACCTGTGTTTGCGAACTTTAGTGTCTCTGATAGGAGGAAACAAGAAGAATTGGCTCGCAAATTAGCAAAAAACTTAAGTAAATTAAAAAATCAAAAAGATTTTATTCCAAAGGCTAAATTAGAAATAATGGATTATCTCAATTCTTCACCTATTTGGCAACCTACTGATTTATCGGCGAAAAATCGATTTTTTGAAATGCTTGTTTCTGATCTAATCAAGAGATTAAATAATATGTTTGGTCAAGAAGTAGAGCAAAATATCGCTCAAATATTGTCACGTTTACCTTTCAAAGAAGGTGTTGATATTAAACAAATCCAAGAAGATTTTATTAGTAGGGTTAAGCCAACAATTTTACAAATACCAAAGGGCGACAGTAAATTTAAAGAAATTATAAAGCCAAAGGTTTTGAATATTATTAGAAAGTTACCATTACAATCTACAGTTGAAAATTTACATGACTTAACTGATGAAATTGTTGACCAATTGTCACAATTTCATGAGAGCGTTCAAGAAGACGAGACTGATAATAAGGATAATAAAATTAAAGAAAATATTATGAATTTCTGTGAAAATGTGCCAGAATTAGCCAACATTGATTTTTCTGATGAACCATATTTAATAGATGAACTTGTAAACAAATTTAAAGAATATGAAAATGAAAATCTTAACGATGAAGATGTAAAAGAAAAATTAATGAGTGAAGTTCAAAATTGGTTAAACGATGTGGCCCAAACAAAGAATATACGATTGAACTCCGACACCAAAAATCAACTCAGCATTAAAATGCTAGAGCATGTTCTGGGTACTGATAATAATGAGTATGAAAATAAATCGTCAGATCTCGCTAGCACCCAAGTTTTTTTAGAGCCTTTGGAGAAATGGTTTCATAACATACCACAATTCAGAGGCGAAAATCTTGCAGAAAATAAAAAAGACCTTGCTAAATTGGCAAAGGATTTAAAAGAAATTCATTCTCGCAAACTGTCTAACGAAAGTACTAATACAAATATGAAGAACTTAATTTATGATTGGTTACAAAATAAGTTCTCAGAAAAAGGAATACATGTAGAGACGAAAGATTTGGATAATCATGTCAATAACATACTATCAGATTTAACAGAGTTTAAAAGAAGCCAGAAAACAGAAGAAGAAGATAGCCATGTGGATCATGATAAGGATATTATGAAATTAATAAATAAATTTAACAATATTCGCAGATCATTGGACAGCACAACTCAAATAAATGATGCTGTATCAGAATTCATACAGTCCTTATCAGAGAATGTCGGAGTACATGTCAGCGAAAAGGATGTAAAAGCGTTGAAAGATAAATTGTTCGCAAGATGGAGACAGACTTCTAAAAAGAGGAAGCGTTGGGATAAACTTAAAGAGTCATATCCAACAATACAGTCTAAAATCAAAGATATTCTTAAAGAATATCCGAATAGTTTAGGAAATAGCAATTTCGATAAAATTGGAGATAAAATTTTTGATGCAATAAAACAAAATATTGAAGAAAACAGTTTGCTCGATTTAAACGAATTAAATTCCGAAATAAAAAATGTTCTCGAACAAGAAACAGAATTAAAGAAATCTGATCAAGATGATTTGGCAAATCGTATATTCACAAAATTACAAAGAGTCCTTCCTCAAGAAGTAATTCGGAGATCCCGTGAATTCGCATCGGATATGGAAACAACAGCTGAGAATAGTTCAGAACCAAAGAAAAAGCTGAAGAAACAAAAAAGTCCTAGAACTTTAAGTATTGAAGACGGTGATGAGAAATATAAAATGCAATACGGTCGCAAGATGGAATTACAAGCGGGTGATGTACAAAAACGTCCGAAGCATTCTAAAACATTGTCAACCATTTACCAAAGCAGTCATTCAGATCTTAATGTTCAAAATAGCATAGATTATTCTGGTAACAGCTATAAGAACCGTTTAGATAAAAGTAAACCTGTAGCATTCAACAAAAATAAAAACATCCGGACTTCAACACCGATATCTAATAAAGAGAAGAAAAAAACAGCAGATATTGCTTCTGATACATCTAAAGAAACTTTCAGAGAGAGCTCAGGAAAAAAGACCCTGGGTAGAGAACTTTCAGATGCAACTAAATATTATAATAAGATCAAGAATATTGCAACGGACTTTCTTAAAAATAACGAAATAATTAACACAGCTGATTTGGATACCGATGAAATAGTTAGCAGTATAGGATCGGATTTCGTGGAACGACAAAAATATTTACAACTATCAGGAAAAAAATATTCCGAGAATGACGAACTCGAACATTTGAAATATCAAATATTTAGGAAAATAAATAAAGTGATCAGCCAAGACAAGATTCCGAAAATACTGTCCGAAATAAATGGTCTCCATAGCCTTATAAGGAAAGTAAGCACTCCGAACTTGGTGATGTCTGATAAATCTAAGCTAGTTAACTCAAAAATAGATCATGACAGCATGTTCAACGTAATAAAGGACTGGCTGAACAGTATTTCTCCAAAGTTATTAAACGACGGTAACATTAAAAATAAGTTGAATTTAGCAAAGAAAATTGCTAATAAGTTAGAAAATATTGAAAAGGATGGTAGTCATGATTACGAAATGCAAAAGGAAATATTAATGTGGCTGCAGAATATTTTAAATCTTGATGTTGATAAAACAACTGATGACAGAGCCGAGAGTATTCACTCTCAACCTAACGAGTTTAGTTCTACCAAAACATTAGAACAAGAATCTAGTACAGATGTTGATGAAAGTATTTTACAGTCTATATTAGAATGGATAAAAAGCACTTCATTTCATAAAATGGCTACACCAGAAGAAAAAGATTTGCAAAAAAATTTAGCATTATTCTTAGCTGCAAATCTAAATAAAATTTTGAAAGACCCTAATATTAAAGATGACGAGAAAAATAACCTTTTAATGGAAGAAGTTCAAAAATATTTGAAAACTATTATAAGTGACGATAAATATAAAAATAATTCCTATTGTACCAAAGCTGCAGCTGATCTTGTTGATAATATAAAAAATAAGTTAACTGCAGAAAATAAATTACCAGAGACAGTGACAAAATCGAATACTACGGATGGTTTAAATGAAAATGAAGATTTAATACGACAAATTGTAACTTCATGGTGCGATAATCTTCCGATTCATTTGGGACACGACAGTAAAAGCAAAGAAGAGGAAGAAAAACTGAAGCAGGAGATAGCTAAGCAAATTTTAGAGAATTCAAATATATTAAATCTTGATGCAAGTTCCGATATCCCATTAAATGTTATAATATCGGATGAAATTGATAAAATATTTGAAAATGTGCCCATGACTAGAGAACTAGAGAAAAGCTTACCCGTTTTGAAATCCATCTTGATAGACAAAATAGTAAAGGCAAAGACTAAACCTAATGCAGAAAATAAAAAAGAATTACAAGATACATTTAATGAAACCCTCCAAGAAATAGAAAATGTCTCAAACTTAAACAGCTCATCATTTGTTTTACTAAAAGACAAGCTAGTTAATGCATTTTTGGATCTGCATCATGACGAATGTGTTGACGATGAATTTCGTGATCAATTAAAAGATGAATTGGGCGATGTAGTTCATAATTTTTGTCACAAATATCTGCAGCGTAGTCCATCCATGCCGCTAAACACAGAAGAACTTCGACGCAATTTATCTGATACCATGAAGAAAGCATTGAAAATAAGATTCAGTGATAGGACTAAAAAATCTCCTACACATTCATTAACTCAATTCTTACCAAGTTCATCATTAAGTCCTAAAGACAAAGACCATTTAGACAGAATAAGAAAAAGAGTGACTAGTTACCATCAAAAACAGAGTATTGTAATTCCAACAAGGGGTTTGTGTTGTCATTTAAAAGATATAGAAATACAAACTGATCTTGAAGTTAGGGTGGAAGACTACACACAGACTTCGAAAACATTGTTGACTGAAGCTGGAAGTTTTAATAGAGAAATATTCCCACAAGTCGTTATCAAAGAGTATTACTGGGATTCAAATGAATCGAAGCAAAGCTTGCAAACGCTGGGACCACCAGAAGTGTCATCTCCTAAGAGAACGACTAAAACGAAAGAAACAAGGAATTCTCAAAACCAGACTGAGATAAAGCTGATTAATAAATGTAGAAAAGAGCATATTTCTCAGCAATGCCCAGATGCAAATACTGTTAGAGAATCAACGTCGACGTGTGGACCTAGATGTCAAAATACTCCGAATCTGCCACCACTTAGAGAGTTATGTGACAGACAGCAACAAAGAGAGAATTTTTCGCAACAACGAAGATGCAATAGGAACAACAATGGATATTTTAATAATAATACCAACGAGAGGTGCTGGTGGGACCAACCAGGCATCCTTGAACACACCAAATACACTGGAAGAAGGCGATTAGAAGATTCGGCAACATTACCAGATGACAGAATAGTTTTAAGAAGGAGAATGTGCTTCACTTCTGATAGAAGTAAAGAGCATACGTGTTGTGATCGCAACGCAAATTGGAGATTAAGACCGAACACTTGTAGGCTACCGAATAGATGCGGCAATAAAGCAAGACATTGTACAAAATGTTCAGGAGGTTTCTGCCCACACCCAACCCTTGCTTTCTTTTCGAAAGAATTTTAATTATTGTATTGTGTTTTAAAAATATACCTACTTTCTATGAATCAGTCTTTCATTGTTTTTGGTATTTAATCAGATAAAGTGAATAAAAAACTTTAATCTAACAATTATATTTGCTGTAATGAATATCTGTTGGTGATATTGGATAATTAATATTTCTTTTAAGGTTTCATATTTAAAAAAATGAGGTAAAAATTTGTCACGTTGGTACAATATAAGTCAAATAGTTTGATGTAGAGTGCATACATGTCAATACAGCCATAATAATATAAAACAATAACATTTTGTAATATTACAAATAAATTTGTAGACTAATAGTAGGCGTTTAACGCGCGTTACATAGGGGTCCCTTAACCCTACACCTGGGTCACGAGTCCCAGTCACTGTTGAAGCTCCTCTCCCTACAACGATGGACCCGACACACGCACCGTAAATACATGGAATGATGATATTTCGTCTCAGATATAAAAAATAAGAAGCAAATAAAAATATAAATTTTTGTTATTTACTTTAAAAATGCCGAGATAATAATAGAAAAAATAATCTTAAAAGCTGAATACAAAAGAAACTATTTATACATATATGTGATTATCATATAATTACACATCACTCGTCATCCTTTCGTATTAATATAAAACTTGTTTTTCGATTATTTTCCAGCGACAGTGATCTCTAGCGGACGAGGTGAAACTGCACACCAATGTATAAACAGAACATAATGTAGAGAGTAGTCTCTTTTTACTGTGTTAACTTTGCACAGTTTAGCAATTGATATAAAAGCATATTTAAAATTATAAAAACAAAAGCGAATCAGTTGCAAACCATTACTAAATAAGTTGTTGAAGTTCGACTTACTTTTATAATTATGTCTTAACTTATACTTACCAACTCAAACTATTCAAAATCTCAGGAAATCAATGTAGGTTTATGAATGAAAATTTGGAAACGATTGGTTGGTAAGTAAAGTGCGTCGTAATGAGTATCTTGTAGACTCGTCGCCTCGGTGGCGCAGTAGGCAGCGCGTAAGTCTCATAATCTTAAGGTCGTGAGTTCGATCCTCACCCGGGGCATTTTTTTTTTTTACTAAAAACTTTTGTGAGCCCTTTTAGAAAGAAATATGTATTTTTTTAATGTTAATATTTGTAATATATTAACTAAAGATAATAATAGTTTGTCTCCAAATGATATCAGTGTTTCGTTTTGAAAATACAATGAAATATTTTTTTATTTTACATATTTTCAATTTTGATATCTTTTATTTATCGTGCTTTCTTTAATGTGCTTTTTTTTACCCTTATTACGTTTCAAATATTCACTGTTCTAATATAAAGCTAAGAAGTTATTTTAACCTCTAACTCAAAAGGAAATCTTTAATAATTTCAGAGACTAACATTAATAGACGGGCACATTAAGAAACAAAATTTATTTTAAAATTTGCATCAGGGAAATGTCAACACCAAAAATTTTATCTTAGTACGTCATAAGAGTAATCGAAACAGTTGAATAAATTGTAACAAAGTAAAAAATCATTTTCAAATGTTAGGGACGTCCAAAAATTTACTAAAATATTAACGAACATGCCGGAGCTGCATTGTTGTATGTGTAAAATATTATATAGAGAATGACGTCGGTGACTTAGTAAAAAAATACATCTGACTGTGTGAACCAGAAGATTACTGTAAGAAAAAAGATAAACTGGAGAAACTGCCTTTGTATTTACTTAAGAAAACTTTTGTTTAGCAAATAGGTATCAAGTCTGAGGTACGGATTAGCAATTTTAGTTATGCGTATATATAAAAGATGTCTCATCAATATAATACAAAATTATACTTCATTAAAATAAAAAGATATTTTTTAACTATCTTAAAAAGTTATGTCTCTGTTTACGTAAAAATAATAATTGTAAGGATTATAGTATATCATCATTAGTAGGGCACAGATGGCGTCACTTGTAACATATATGGATCTTCTAAATACACATTACATTATTTCTAAGCAGCACTATAACATGAACAAATTAAGCTGCCTCAACTATAGAAGTCTAGAGGGGATTCACTTTTGGGTATTGCCTAGTGTTAGTGTCAGTCTACCTGTCTAGGTTTCGGACTTTAACAGGGTGAGTGAGTTAATGAGTCATGAGTGAATGATCTGTTAGTTTTCATACAGCTTAATATAATAGCTTGTAAAGGTTATTGCAGCTCGTAATATAGGCTTGTTTTAAGAGCCATTTCAGCAATCATACTTAATTTAAAGTTTTTTGTTGGTATATACATGTATAAAAGTTTTATAGGATCATAAATTGTTGCTAGATCTATCAAAATATGTATTCTTTAAATACTAGTAGCGCCATCTCTGTTGCTAGATGTGTAACAATTGTTAGGAACCTACCTCCACCTAGAATAATGAATCTATCTGTTCGTTAAATTCACTTGTTTTATTAGATATATACTTGCTATATTCACAAAGTATGACCAGTCAAGTATAGTCGTATCTTTATTATGATTTTTTTCTACTTATTTATTAATCAAATGAATGAATGAAGTACTGCAAAGTGATAATGTTAACAATGAAAATACGTCATGCTTCAAAGAAAAACCAAAATTTCAGATTTCGTGTCCAATTACTAATAAATTTGATAATTTAATCATTACTTTAAAATATATGAATAGATAAGATTTATGTACCGAGACTGTTGAATAAAATGGCGTTGTCAAATTAATTTTGATATATCTGATTTAAAATATTTTGATAACATTGTAATTAATTATCAAGTAGACATAGATTGGACGATATCGGTGTAATAATGAAAATAACTGTATCTTTATAATATACATGTACGTTTACTATCAGTTCGTATCCTCACTGCACACGTAGCGTTAACAGTATTTCATTATTATCTTCATACATTATAGTATTAACGTGGTATTGAATGAAACCGGACACGATGCGTATGTAGTGTGATGCAAACTTGGAATAAGTACATGTGTTATACAGATTTACTGACTCAAGTAATGTTATTTGTACCTAATGTCCTTACTAAATATATATATTTATATATATATATTTAAGCCTAACAGAGCCCACTGCTGAGCAAAGGCCTAATTTTATCATGTAGAAGGTTTGTGCATTAATCACCACGCTTGCTCAAGACGGGTTGGTGATTTCAAACTTATAATTGTGACATTATAATTCCAGGTTTCCTCACGATGTTTTCCTTCATCGTCTATCAGTGGTGTCTTAATACTCTTAGAAAATACGTATGACTCGGAAACATCACAGTGGTATTTGCCAGGATCGAACCCGCGCCCTCGGCAACGAGAGGCGGTCCCTTAGACAACTAGGACACCATCGACTTTTATAACATTTATTATACGTTTCATTTTGTTTGTCAATTAAATTATGAATCACTTGATAATCTTTGACGGCTGATGGTTCACATAAAATCCTATATTTCTTTATTAAACCAATGAAAGTGTAATCCGTACCTTTTGATATAAATACGTACTATTTCAATAATATTCTTATTAACTATGGTTTCCGACTTTCACCACATCCAATTGTGATACATAATCTTCTTCTTCCTGGCAATTTCCCAGCTTTAGCCAGGGTCTGCCAGAATTGTGATACATAATAATTAATTTTAATATACATAATAATTAATTTTAGTACTGACTTAACAAATCTCAAAAAGATTATACGTAATTATTTTACTAGATGATCATGACATATTTTAAAGATTTGGTAAAAAAAATGAGGTAATGTACTTACAATCTTATCTTTTTATATCTTTACTTTATTTTCAGATGTTTTGTCTGTAATTTAAATCATTGATCGAGATCATTTGGATTATTTCTTTTATCATCGACAATATATCTTTATTATGACAAAAACACAATTGTAAATGAAACATATATAGATATATATGTAAAAGCTTACGAAAATTGTTATTTTATGTGTTTTATTATATTTCATATAATTATAAAGATTATTCGCTGGGTGCGTAAAGGTGGCACTTTACTTGGCGTTCCGTATTCGCGTAGCGTACGCCAAATTTGTCCAAATATTTGTATTTAGTCCAAATATCGCAAACACAACATCCACACTTGGCATGCCAACTACACGTCTCTACGCGATTTCGCTTATTTGTGTATGTTTCTTATTTGTGCAAATATGTCAAATGAAGACGAATAAATCCCCCACACATGGTCTTATTTGGCCGAACAACAAATAAATGACAAGTGAAGTGTCACCTTAAGACATAGTGGGACACAAAAGTGATGTCAGCGCCCGCTGCGGACAAAACAGAACTACGGGTGGCTCTTTACGAGCTACATGTTAAGAAATAATTGAACATCGCCGGGGCAAAATCTATGTATGGGTAAAATATCGTATAACAAATGACGCCGCTGACTCCGCGGAACGAACACCATGCCGTGTGAACCAGAAGATTCCTGATACCACACAAGCTATGGAATGGTATTGCTAGCCTAACATCGGGACAATCATGTAGTCTTAGGTGTAGGTTATAAGTTTTAATATGTAATCCTCATTATAATATACATATAAGTAAGTTTCGTAGTTCCTGGAACCTCCGGTTGTAAGTAAGTAAATAAGTATTACTATAACCTACAACCGTATTCTATAGAATATTGTCATATAAATGTAAGAAAACGGAGTAATAATTTAATTAATATTTGAGATTGTTTTTTAATATTAATACTGATTTCTTATTTTTGATGTTTTAACCTAATTCACTTATTTTAGTTGTTGTATTTATTTTACTTACTTTTTAAGCTGACCCACAAAAAAATATAACTTAATATTCACTCTGTGTAATATGTACAAATATCACATTCCACATTGAAAATATTTATTTTTTGAAGTTGCTTTTATTTTTCCAATAACTATTTGACATGTATACATGTTTTATTTTCTCAAAAGAGCCACCGTAAGTTG